TCCTTTGAATAATGGATAAAAACTCAGGAATAAATAAGAATAGTGGTGTGTGCATGGAAAGGAAAAAAAAGGTACTTGGCTACACAAAGATCCAAAAGGTCTCAAACAAAGGTAACTATTTCTTTTAGGATTTATAAATAAAAGGTTCACTTGAATAACTTTAACAGTCTTTTAATTTTTATCCTCTGAAACAATTGTAAGAATCTGTCTTGATTTTATGGCTGTACAGTTTAACTTTTTAGATATTTTCTTATTTCTTACTTCAGCTGGTGAAACAACACTATCTTCTTTTTAATCTGTTTTGACTCACTTTAAAAGAGTGCAGGTTTTTAGCAGGGTGTATTGCTTGACTTCTGGGTGTGGGGTGCATGGAATCATTGAGTTTAATTTGGATTTTTTGGAATGTTGCACTTTGTAACTTTTCCTGTCAGTGTACAGTTGTTGTATATTAACTTTGTGGATGAGAAGTGTAAACAGAACTTTCCATGATTATTTGTAAATAAATACATTCAAGTGAACCTTCAGCATTTCTAAAACCAATTAAACATTTTCTATAAAGCACATCGCAAGAACCTTCAATTATGTATACTGTGGCTTCCCTTTTAGTGCTAAGATGTGTTGTAAAATTAGGCAAAGTGGTGGTTGAAAAATGTTACATTTTTGTTGCATCACCAAGGGTTGGACTACTTAAGGGCTGGTGGGGTCAGACTAAAGAGATGGTTTTCACAAATAGTAAACTTTTAACAAGCAGAAGATAGAGCTGCGAGGAATTAAATGTTGCTAAACAGTAATTCTTACGAGTACATCAGCTGATACAAAAGTATCTCCTTTAATTAAAGGCACTTTTATAAAAAATAATTATAATTGGGTCCTAACTCTTTCAGTTATTTCTAGATTGTCTGGTGCTCATCAGTTTTTCAGATTACATATGCTGCATATGCTGTTATTTTGTGTAAGTAAAGGAAAGTCAGTACACTTATTTGGTTCCTTCCTTTCTACACTTTCTTATGGCTACTACATATCTGGCTTTTATGCTAGGATGCCCTCTTTTAGACATCTCTTGATTTTTGAATTCGAAAAAAAAATGTAGTAATGCTACTGGGACCAATTGTAGCTTCCACTGAAGTCTACTGGAATTCTACTATTGATTTCAGTTGTGGCAAGAGACAAGATCTAGATGCTGAATCTGATCTCACTTAAACTGGTATAAACTCTGAGTACCTCACCCAAAATGCCACTACATTGGTATTTCAACCAGTATAACTGAGATGAGATGAATAATAGCCTGATTGTTTGGAAAACAGAACATATCCAACAAATGGATAAGTAGGAATTTGTAGCCTATTTGTAGCCACTCTGCTACTACCTGATGACCCTTTTGCCTAATAAGATTGTACCAATAATTTTGAACCAATTAGTGCAGTTACTTCTGCAAAGGAATTATTTTGGTGTTGACCCCCCTCAGCTAATATTACCTGGGTGCTGAAAAAAAAGATGAATGTGGCACAGAAAATTGCATCACAGTCTATACCTTCTGCTTGTTAAAGCAAGGAGAATGTCTCCAAGTTGACAACAAATTAGGTCAATGAAGAGTTTAAGTTGGAGAAATTAGCCTTTTTTAGGCTTGGACAATATACTTCTTGTTGTCTAACTTGCTTATTAGCATTGTACTGTTACACAATTTTTAAGGTCTTACTGCACCAGCAATCAATAATTAAAACATTGTATGACTTTATACAGTTTGTACCAAATGTTATTAAAACATCCTGTGGAACAATGCCTGTAGAAATAAAGCAAGCAGTATTATTCTAGTCTTTGTTTAGTCTAGGAATAGAGCTTATAGAACATTAAATTGTGGCCTCAGCTCACACTTGAATGATAAATAGTTTCATATTTGAACCTGTTTGTTCAAATGTCTATTGTATTGTTAATCAGGAATTACTTTGCCTCTTGCATTCTTTCCTGTTTAATGACTTTTTCCCATTTCACGCAGAATTCTTGTTTGCTGTTTTCATGCTTTTCAGAATTCGTCACATGAAAAGGTTTTTCATATCTTCAGAAATGCTTTTAGCTCTTTCAAATGCTGCTTGCCTATCCCTTACCATTTGCTGTTTTGTGCACCATCACACTTCCTGTTATGCATAAGCAAGCAATAAATAGTCCATGTAATCCGCTTCTGTGCTCCATTCTAAGTGATAGCATTTTCAAATTTTATTTCCAATAAGATGTTTTAAACTTATTTTCTGAAGTGTGCTGTTAGGTGTTTTATAAACTTGTACTATGTTTATAAATCTTACGGAAAATGTGTTGCTATTCTAATTACTGTGTTAAGTCTTGTTATAGTATTTTTGTTTTTCCTTTTTAGTATTGTCTTGCTTTTTGGAATGTTTCAAAGTAGTAATTAAACTTATATTTTGTGAGGTTTTTTTTTTCTTGTTTCAGTACTCAAGTGCCCTCTGCTAAACAATAAATATTTTCATGATTAGATTGGTCCACTAGGCATTATGCAGCCAACTGTAGTCGTGTTTATAGTACAGCAACTGGTTATTCTTGCTTTAGAGGTGGTGGGTCTTACCTGTGGGAACTCCAACTACATGAAAAACATGCTTGTCTAATTTTTGATGGCATCCTGTATGTGAAGATCTAAAAAATCACTAGCGTTTCAGATGAGTGGGAAGGCCTGGGACCAGGGAGTATACATCTTGATAAAATAGCTTTTTAGAAAGAAATTTGCTTATAGTCATGTTCAAACGAGTCATGTCACTTTGTTCTTTTGTTGCATGAACCAAGTTTGCTCGAAATTTGTTTGCAATTCAGAAACCTGATGCTAGGTAATACACTGGACTGGTAAGATGCCTCCCTCCCCCTCCCCAAAGACCAGAACTCCTTTTTCAGACAAATGAATTTAAGTCTGTCAGTGCAAGAGAGAAGAGAGAACTTTGCACAACAGCCTTTGTAATTTAAAACATTTCAGTTCGCTTGTTGTTTCAGCGTTAAGTATTGGTATTTGTATTGGGCTGAGATTATCCCTTGCCTGCAAAAAATAAGTTTCAAGTTGGACATACCTCTTTGAGAGTGGGATTGTAGACTAATGAAATTGAAGTATGTGTGCATGTTTGCAGGGTTGTGGCATTTTTTTCACTTTGTACTGCAGAAGGTCTAGCTTCACCATTATCTCAGTGCTGGAAACAGTAACTATTTAAGTCATATGCAGTGGTACGTGGCAAGTATGCCTGATAGCCCTTTTTTTCAGAAGTACCTCTGCTTTTTTATTTTAAGTGATAGAGAAGGCATATAGTTGTGGAGAACATGAGGTACAGACTGAAAAGCCAAAGGTGTTATCATGTGTATCTGGTCATGCATCTTACTGCTTATGGTTGTTTCCTGCAGTGCTTTCTATTCAACACAGATTCTTTAAGCAGGTAGAAGGATCTGCAAGTAACTTCAGTTTTTACCTCCTAGTCCAGTGGTTCAACTGGAAGACTATACAGTGTTTAGTGTACAAACATGATGCGCCAAATAAACCCAGAGGTTTCATATAGAAATCCATGAATCTCACACACTGGCCTGTAGTGTTTTTCTGGAGTTCTTTATAAAAGAACTGTTTTTTTTTCCCTATCATCAAAAAATGAATGAAAACTAAGCTGGTATTTTCTGAGGGGTGCCAAGTCTAACAAATATGAGAACCATCATCCTAGCCCAAACCTGATTTGAAGGAGTTCTGTTAAGTGATCTTTGGTCAAAGCATATTAACTCTGACAAAAACACAGAGAAAGTTATTTAATGATTTATTCCAAAACTAGCTGTAGTCTAGACCAGTGGTTCCCAACCCCTGGGCCAGGAAGGGTAGGCTGCCAGACTGGAAATCCAGAAGTGACTGGCATACTGCAGACTGGCAGCCAACCTTTTTTTTATACACAGTTGGCTGCCGGTCTGCAGTATGCTGGTCCATGATCTAAAGAGGTTGGGAACCACTGGTTTAGATCATTACTTATGATCCTTTCTCCAGAGAACCAGCTCCTAGCAATAGAAAAACAACCTTTTGCAAATATCTTTAAGAGGGATAATACTGTCCTAGCTATAACTCTGACCTGAGCTGTGTGAGAATAGATTGCACTCCTTTCCTTCTCCAGAATACCTTTGGAATATGGGATGTACTAGTCTGCTGAATTGAGTTTCACCCTAATTGAATTTATTGGAGAAGTGGTAACATGCTCCCTGCACATACTGTAGTTCTTCCACAAACCATTATCTAGAGTTGCCTAGCTATCATTGATACCTCATTTGGACTCTTCCTGAAAACTGTAGTTTGTTTTCTTCCCTTAAAGATCCCTTTAGCTTAGTATATGAACTGGTTGGAGGTGGTAAACGGTCTGCTAGGGCTGTGCAAAATTTCAGCAGCCATTTCATTTCGGAGGTGTTTCGGTGCCTGAAATACCAAATCTCAAATGAAAAGGAAGGCTTCAAAACTAAACGAAACCATCCAAAACACTTTGGGAATTTTTGGAGGCACCCATAGGAAGAGTCCACTGCAGCCCTCCTTTTAAAGTACTGGGAGGCTGGGGCCGGGCAGCTATGGGGGTTTCTCTCATGGCTCCCCCTGCCCGGAGAGAGGCAGGCACAGCCAAAGGAGCTGTAGGAGAATCTGCAGCTGCCCAGCCATGCCTGCGTCTCCCTGGCCGATCTGAAATTCTAAATTAGTGCTGAAACAGAGCTGAAACTCTGAAACTGATTCGGCTGAATTGAAATGGAATGGTGATCCAAAACACCGAAACGAATCACTGGCCGAAACAAAACAGCCAAATCCAAAATGAAACACGGCTGTTTTGCACAGCTCTGCTGTTTGTCCCTTATGTCCCAGTGGCAAGATCACCACTCAGATTTGAATTCTTTTCCAGATTACACTAGCACTTCAAGTCACCTATTGCAGAAAAAAAATTACCAGTTTCAGTTAATTACAGAAACCTGAAAAATAAATTTAGAACAAACTGAAAACCCAAAACAGAAAAACTGAGAATTTATTCTGGCATTGGTCAATGGACCCATCATCATCGAGCTTTCATCGTTGTAGTTTTTCAAAAACTTAAGTTGTTCAGCATCCGCTCTCTTCATGGGTTCAACAAATTCTTGTTCATTTAGAAGCTCTAAAACTTTTTCAGGAAGTTCTACCTACACCTTTACAAGAGTCTGGGTGCAGTATTTAATCGTCTGAAATGCCACTCAGACAAGCAGAAGTGCATTGATGCAGCCGTCATTTTCTGGGTTGTTGGTTACTTGTGCATATTTCCCTAAAGAAGGGGACAAAAAGGGAGTTGGGAGTGAAGTTAAATCACATTGTTTTCCAATAGCTCCTGTTCCAACAGAAAATTATACACCATGAAATGTGGTAAGTTAACTCAACCTCGGCTTAAGTTAGGAAAGCTAGGATTTTCATACGCACGGTGTATAAACTGTGGCTGGGCTTGGCTGGTACAGCCCAGCCCCTGTCAGCAGTGCTGCCTGAGCTGCAGGAGCTGAGTCCCAAGCTCGGCCCTGTCTGCTGCGAGTGGCATGGCTGAGCACCAAGCCCAGCCTCATCCCCTGCAAGTGTCATTGGGCTTAGTGCTTGGCAGCGCTGCTAGCAGCAGACAGGGCTGGGCTCAGCACTCAGCTGGCATGGCCCCATCCCCTACAAGCCTGGTGCTCGTTGCAGGGGATGAGGCTGCACCAACAAGCAGCATGTCCCCAGCTGAGTGCTGAGCTCAGCCCCATTCCCCATCCTCTGTGAGTGGTACCGGGCTCGGCACTCAGCTGGGGACGTGCTGTTCACAGGGGCTGGGCTTAGCTGGCACAGCTCCATCCCCTAGGGCTGAGCACTGACACTCATATCTCCTGCAAGCAGTGCTGCCAAGCCTGATGCTGCTCAAAGGGAATGAGGCTGGAGTCAGGACACGGCAGTGCCACTCACTGGATGGGGCCAGGCTTAGTGCTTGGCTGGTGTGCTGCTCACAGGGGATGGGGCCATGCCAGCCCAACCCCTTCCCCTATGAGCACAGCTGCCTGGGCTGTGCTAGCTGAGCACAGAGCCTGGTGCCACTTGCAGGAGAAGATGGTACAGTGTATAAGTTGAGGTTACATTCTCAGAGGCCAAAATTGGGCTGCAAACCCCACTTATATACTTAAAAATACAGTATTATTTGAGCATCTTAATCTGCCAAAGTCCTCTCTACAAACATTCCATTCTAGTCTAAGACTTTCCCAGCCTGTGTGCTGTCACAAATTAACAGGTGTATCACAGAATTTTGCCATGGCAATGAGCTACAATAAGCTCAGAAGTGTGGGGCTGAGGAATGCCTTAACAGGTGTGCTACACGAAATGTGTTAATGTAAGTGTGCCTTGGGCTGGAAAAAGTTGAGAAACACTGGTCTAAAGAGACTCCTGCTCTAAGACACTATGCTAAAACTGCTGTTTGATTGTGTTAGGCACTGATCTTCAAATTTATATTTTTCTAGTTTACTTAACAACACCCATCCAAATTCTACAACAATAATTAGACCCTCAGAATACCTATTTTAAATCGCACTGAAGAAACAGCATCTTACCTACCAGGTCCACCCCATTTGTAACAACTTCATAACCAGCCCCAGTCATATAAAGACTTGTACAAAGGCTTTGCTTTATCCACTTTGAGTTAGTTATACTGATTTCAGTGGAACTCTTGTGTCAAATTATTCATGTGCTTAACTGCAGAAATGAGGCTATCTGTCAATGTCACACAGCTAAGGAAGCAACCCAGAACTTAGGTCCAAGAAAGAAAGATGCATATTTAATTTTACTTATGTAAAATATTTTACACTTATCGCATTGCTAACATTGAAGCCGTAAGCTTTAAGTGCCAATTTATTTAAGACTAACATGCTTAAGACAAATTTCAGAATCAATATTTATTAGAAATTACATCTACTATTGTTGTTCTTTTGCAGTTGCCAACAGGTATTTGAGGATAGGCAGGGAAGCTGCCTGCTTCTGGGACTCCCAATCAAAGACAGCAAGCTTTTTCCTTGCCCTTTATTCTTCTTCTTAAGTTTCAAGACCACTTATACAATGTAGCTGATAGCTACTGGCTGGATACTTACCCCAGATAACTTTGCCACCTTGTGTCACGAGACCAAGCTCACTCACATTCACTTCTATGACTGTACCTTTGGTAATTACACCCAAAGTTGTGTACAGAGGAGAAGAGGGATTTTTCTTTACACCAAGGATAGGCAGGCAAAAGGTAGCTTTAAGTTCAGGATGAGTTACGTGAGCCTTCTTGAAACGTAAACCCTGTGACAAACGTTAGAGCAGTTTAGTGGCACACAAAATTCTTAAAGCCGTTGCTAAAAAGTTAAGCTCCACTCAAATCACATTTATTTCCCTAACTTTTTCTATTTCCAGGTATTACTGAAAAACAGTGAAATGTGCTGTAAATTAAAACTAAAAATCACCTATTTTAAAGATACCAGATTTGTTAAATTGTGATAAAATAATCAGATACAAGTTCTTGGGGGTGATATGCTGGCATCTGAAGTGATGCATTTATATCTCCTTTTAAATTAGCACAGGGAGAAAGCAAAGAAAGTATTCTGCAGGCTGGAAAGAACCTCACCAGGTCATCCAATCCAGTCCAGTCCAGTCCCCTACTCATGGCAGGATCATTCCTGGCTAAACCATCCCACTCAAGTGCCTGTACAGTCTGCTCTTGATAATTTCCAGGCATGGAGATTCCACTACTTCTCGAGGTAGCCTGTTCCAGTACTTAACCACCCTCCTGGTCAAAAAGTTCCTCCTAATCTCCAACCTGAATTTCCTCTGCTTGTAACAAGGTCAGGGAACTGGTGGGCTAGCCTGCTTTTCTGAAGAGCAGTGTCCTCGTTCTGTTGATTATCTTATGATCTTGAACTTAATCATTTTTGGCACTATCACCCAAGTTACCTTCCCTCACACATTCTCAACCAATTCCTTCTGGTTTGTGAGCAACAGGTTGAGACAAGCTTCTCCCTAATTATACAGCATTTCCAAATATGTCAGAGCTCCTTAGAAGGCAGGTATTTTTAACCCCATTTTATACCTACTGGGAGGTGGGGAATGACCTGTCTAAAAGTACCCAAGCAGGCCAGTGGCAGAACTAGGAAGAGAGACCAGGTGAACTGTCTCTTGAAAGGAGGCCATTTGTCTCTATGTATATGGCTGATTTTAATGTTCTCAAGCATCTCCTCACAGCAGATTTCAAAGCTTCTTTCTTAACCTCCTCTAGCTTCATACATTGCCAGGTAAGAGTTTAGAATAGAGATTCTCAGCCAGAGTGCCACAAAATCCACACAATGTTTTCACTGTTAGGTATACACGATTCACAAGATAAACCTTGAGATTTCAAATAAGAATTCATAGCATTAAAAACATTAAAGATCAGAAAAAGCCTTTATGATCAGCACTTATCAGAGCAAGGGCAAATGTAGATTGCCACAAACAATAACAGAAATGAGCCTGATATAGGACAGTTTTAGCTGTATATCACAGAAGACAAAGGGAAGCCTTGATAATGATAAATAGCATAGCAATTCAATACTACAGGAATGCCCAAATACACATATGTAACTTACCATTGGTCGAATAAATCGCTCATATTTGGGAGGTTTTCGAGTAAAGCCATCCCCAACAAAGCAGACTTTTGTAACCATCCTCTTCCAGGCCTTTTTTTTTCTCTTTCCTGTTCGGATCACTTTCAGAACTTCTGTTTCTCCCTGAGCACGAACTTTTGGCACAGGAACCTCCCATTTCCCCTACAAGAGATACCATGGTACCGTTAGAGTTTTAGTGTTGGGAAGTGACAGAGGAGACATACACACAATAAAATAAAAGTTTTACTGAAAGGAAATTACAATCTCTCCCCTTTGTACATCTAAGGTTGTACCAACTTCTAATACATAATAGTTGTGTGCGTCACAGGAACTGAACTTTTTGAAATCCTTTTGACAAAACTGTACAGTTGGTATGGACAATATGTTACAGGTCTCAATCAGCTGAATCTGATCAGTGAGCCAGTTTGATTTGCTGTTTGTTTTGTCTTTTGTTCTTTAAAAAAAAAACAAAAACACATTACCTTAATAAAAAGGTAGAAAAGAAAAGTGCCATCTAACACACTACTTATGAACGGTAGTTACTGCTTATGCTCATTCCAGACTTAAACATTTCTCAGCAATTTAAAATAGTTGATATCAGACTTGCAGAAGTGTTTAGATGTTGCTCACAGAGTGTAAAGAAACTGACACTAGAAAGAGCAAGAGCTGTTATCTGAGTGTCAGTATAATTACTTACGGCTTTCTCTTTTCGTTTCTGTTTGATCATATTAGAAAGGACTTTAGCCCGGGATTGGCCCTCTCTGTCCAGGAGGTATGCTGGCATAGCTCCTTCAGGGGTCTTCTCATCATTCTTTTGTTTGGTGTTTCTCTTTTCGTGCATCTTAATGCTAGAAGGAAAATCAAGCAACTTTCAGAAAACATTGTCAAGAGATGCAGAGAGACTTTTAAGGAGAAGCACACTGTAAAACTACTGTCCTTTATATGTTAAACTTTATCTGTACTCAGAAATTAATTTCAGGGATTTAAAATGTGACTTATGTGGATAAACTTGTTCTGCTAAAAAGCATGTATAATTAAGGATCAGTCTTAAACAATATTTGTGTTTAAAACTGTTGATCTCATTTTGTCAACCCCAGTTCTGAAGAATAACTTAATTCATAGCACAAAGCCAGCAAACGTTTACTTAAACGGACTGAGTTCTTTATCAATGAATGTGCAGAAGACATGGAGACTCAGTTTTTAGGGATTATGAAGTAGTTCCTAGTGGTCTTAAAGGCAGTCTGTATTGCATAATAGACTCCTGTTTGTTCCTCGGGGTTCTCCCTCAATCTTCACTTGTCCACTTCATCCACGATTCTACATTTTGCAGGAACACTAACAGTCAACCTGCAGACTGAACCTGACTCCTGTTCTTAGATGTGGAGGCAGTGGTTAGGATTTGGGGCCAAATGCAAGCCAGAGTGAGCTTGTTTTGAAAAAGCAAATAAAAGAGCATTGTCCTGTACACAAACAATAGGACAGTAACCAGTTATTCCAGCAGAAAGAGCAAAATGGACTGTACTTGATGTGTGCTATGAAACGGCCCCAGAGAATAAAACCCCAGATGTTATTTCCTCAGTTGTGTTGAAGAAGCTAACAGAGTTGTTTTAAGACTAGCACCATACCATCTTAAGAGCCAAATAATGTAACTACATAAAAGGCTGGCTGTTTCCTACTCTATTCAAAGTACGGTGCTGTGCTTTTCTTGTTACATATGAACTGCCATGTACTGGGTCAGATCATAGGTCCAGCTTGCCCAGTAGCCTGCACCATGCGGTGTTGTTAGCCCTAGGGGGCCTAGGCCCACATTCCCTGGCACATCAAATAGACCTGTATCGCATAGAGGAGAGGGTGGATGATGAAGAGTGTGCAATTTGGGTCTGACCAGGGTTCCCCCACGTTCATCTCTCATTTGCAGCCTCCAGCATTTAAAGTTTTTGTTAACCTATTCTACAAGGCAGCATCTGAACAGCTGGCAAGCTGATTCCCTGCCATGTCTGTACTATCATCACTACTGGCTCTTAGAAGCAGGCCCAGGGCTTGTTACATGAAGCACATCCAGCGCCGGGCACCCTGCAGGCTCGGGGCAGGGGGAGTCAGCTCTGCCTCCACCCCAGAATAAGCAGGTGTTTTACTCCTGGGCTTTCAGCCCCGGATGAGCAGGGCCAGGCAACTCGCGGGGGTGTTGGGGGGGGGGGGGGTAACGCACGTCTTTTTCATCTGGATCTTCTCGGCGTGGCGCTGCTTGTGGTAAAGTTTGGCTTTCAACCCGATCAGCTTCTTGGCTTTCCTGGAGCGCTCGTGGGCCTCGCGGCCCTCCCGCTTCCTGCGCCGCTCATGGTGGTCGAGGCGGTAGCCATAACGCTTGCGGTGCAGCTCGATGTGCTCGTTCTGCGGCTGCGGGACACAGGCGACAGGTCAGTGGCCGCGACCACGGTCTGTCCCGCTCCCCTGCCCCGCACCCGCAACCTTCCCCGCTCCGCTAGGCGCCCCGGCGCTCGCACTCACCATGGCGGCGGCGGCGGCGGCAACAGCCCACGCTCAGGTCTCGGCCGCGGGCACCCCAGATCCGCACGCGGAACAAAAAGGCCAGTCCAGCCACGAAACAGCTCCGGGTAGAGCTACGTCCGGCACGTTGGTTCCGCCCCTCGGAAGTAGCCACCGTCGCCTCTGCTTCCGGCCTTTTTGTCCTCTTGGGGGTGGGGGAAAGGATGATGGGAGGAAGCCGGGACTGGAGCTCGTGGCCGGGCCTGTTGCAGCAGTCAGAACCCAAGGGCTGTGGGGATGGAGCTGCCCGGAAGGAAGACATGGATCTGCGGAGGAAGCGGAAGTGGCGGGGCAGGTAGTTTTCGCCGCTCGCCTGCGAATGCGCGGGCGCAGCTCCTTGCTGCGGAAGGGGGCGCGCGGCTCCGCGGTGGGTGCTGGGGGGCGCCTGGGCTTTGGTTTCCCTGTAGCCGCCGCCCTACCTCGCGGCCCGGGCTGGCCTCTGCTGCCGCTTATCTCCGGCCTGTCCCCGGTGCCAGCTCCAGCGGCGGAGCTCCCGGCGCTGCGCTGGGCCCCGCTGAAGCCCGGGGTCGGGCTGGGCATCGCCCTCGCGGCGGGTGAAGGTCCCACTCGAAATGGGGAGGCGGGGCGCGGAGCCGAGCGGGAGGACGTGGGCTCGGGGCTCCCCGCCCTGCTCCTGTCCCTCGGACGCCCCGCGCCCCCTGTCTGCCCGGCAGCAGCAGGTGGCACAGCTCTACCCTACCCCCACTGCCGCGGGGCTCCCGAGGTGACACTTGGGTGGGCCCGGCAGGGGGAGGGGGGAGTAGATGGCTGTGTAGCTTTAACAACTGTGGGAGCTTGAAGGAAACTGATGTTGCTCTGCTTGCTGGTTGTTGGATAGAAAGTGGGTTTTATGCCACATGGCTTCTCTTTTTCTGGCTGAAACTGCTAGCAACAGTCTCAGATTGGCAAATGCCTGTCTTTAAGTTGTTCCTTAATTGACTGCTGTCCAGTTACTCAGGAACAGACTAGGTTTCTTTACCAGTTGTTGAATTATTGAATGTGCCACAGAGTCAGATGGCAGGGTCCTTGAAAACTTGATGGTGTTATAGTATTACTGTGAAATTGTGCTTTCTCCTCACAGCTAGAGGTGCTATAATATAGCTTCTTTATCTTATCTCTGAGTTTTAGGATTTTCAGATAATTGGCACCTAAACATGGCCTGTTCTGCTAAGTTTAGTCCTTTCCTCTTGCAAAATGGGTATTGATATATTTTTTTCTTTGATAAGTATGTGCTGGATGTTTGTGAGGTGTGGTAATTTTAACACCTTGTGTTGTTTTTAGTTTCTGATAAATTACAATCAGATCCTGCTGATCTGGTGGGAAGTGGGATGGTGTTAGGCCTAGCTTGCATTGTGCAGTTCTGCCAGCAGAGCTTAAAGAGTACACACACACAAAGTCCTCTGCAGCAACACAGCTGTCTGAACAAAGAAAGCTTCTGCCATTGCTGAGCAGGCAGTGGAAGGCATGTGAAAATGCTTCTGCACTTTCAGCTGGCCACAGTGGTCCCTTTTTCAGCTGGTGCCTTCCCAGAGTGCACTTCCCACTAAAAGCACAGCTGCTGTAGAGGAGCTGTCAGAGGCATATAGGTGTGCATGTTGTCTGGTGGCTTGTCAGTACAGGCTATAGCAGGAAGGGGCAGTTATTTTGGGTGAAGGACCACTTACCGAATTTTGGCAAGCTGTCGAGGGCTGCATTTTCCCCTCTGGTGCTAGGCAGGGGCTTTTGGTTGGGGGTGGGGTGGGGCTGGGCAGGCCTTGCTGCTGGGTCCTGCCACTGGCTTCTTCTAGGTCCTACTGCCTCTGGCTCCTGTCATCTTTAACAGGCAGCCAGGAGCAAATAAATACTACTTTTCTAAATTTTTTAGGGGCCCTGCGGGCCAGATAGAATGGCCTGGCAGATTGGATCCAGCCCTTGAGCCATATTTTGTCCACCTCTGGGCTATAGTATTCTGCCAGAACTGCTGGTACCAGAGATAGCTGAGGCTGCATCGCATGTTCAGATGATCTAAGATAATTTTTCCTTGTTTGTTTTCCTGGTAAAAAAAAACAAAAAAAAAAAAACAAAACCCAAAAACTTAACTGGAGGTGCCTGAACAGACATTTGAATGCTGAGCCCTTGAAGAGCAGAGAGCTTGCAGTGCTGGCTGTGCAGCCAGAGGATCCCTGTGTGTGCATCTAGGCATGCTCTTCTGGCTCCCCTAGTTTGCCTGGAAACAGATGGCAGTAAGGCAGCCCTGACTGACTGACCTGGACTGCTCAGGATCAGCCTTTGCGTCTCTGCAGCACAGAGTGGGGATTGTGAAGGAGGGTTATGTTCTGCTTTCTGGTCTGCTGGAGCAGTGGAGTCCTGCCTGAGAACTTTGCTATCTTTGGGAGGAGGGAAGGAGCAAAGCACCTATGGATGTTGAAGGACTATTGTGGCTTTTCTCAGAGGGGGATGTATACAGACATTTGCTATCCCAGGGAAAACTATCCTGGGAGTGATTTAACTTGAGTTGCTCTCAGGTTTTTCTTCTGGAGTGGCCATTTTTGCACAGGGAGAAAAATCTTGAACATCTGTACACCCATGGCTTCTACTGGGAGAGTAGCAACTCTCATAGTAAAAACTGAATATTTGTACATGCCTGTGTAGGTGTAGCCTTAGATTATTTAGTATTACGATTTACTTAAATAGAAGTAGTAAAGATGCTTAATTTGGATGGTCAGCCTTTTATATACAGTTTGTTTGTATTCGCAGGTTGTGACTGTAGATGGTAGAACAATAATGTTCAGAGTCATGAGGAAATTGCCAGTAAATGTTCTGACAGCTTCAAGTTGGTGCAATAGGGTAAGACTTTCCCCAAATTTATATATAGATACTCCATATTTTTCTTTACGCAAAAATTAGTTGAGTTTCCTTGTCCATATCATCTCAGTAAAATAATACAGTATAATCTCCGTTATCTGGCATGAGTGGGGAATGCTGGATGCTGGTAATATGAAAATGCTGGTTATCTAAAAATACTGGAGCCAGAGTGGGGGGGGGGGCTTGCACATGGCAGCACAGGGTTGTGGACTGGGGGTGGGATTTGCACATGGCTTACACCCAACGGCAGCATGGGG